TCTTAAGACTCCGACAAGTATAAGAGTATAAACTGCTTCTTAAGACTCCGACAAGTATAAGAGTATAAACTGCTTCTCAATCCTCCGACCGGTATAAGAGGTTAAACTGCTCCCTGATACTCCAACATGTATATGAGTCTAAACTGTTTCATTTCTTTCACGGGAAGTTCCTGGAGAATTTTTATATGTAATATTCTTAAGGATAACCCGGTCATGTAACTGAGTACAATGTCGGACCCAGTTCCACAAGGGAAGCTGGGGGTGGATTATTCATGTATCGGGAAGTTCCCGAAAGAATACCACGGGTGATATTCTTAGGGATAACCCAATCACTATAAAAGTGATAAGTAAAACATCCACATTTAAACTCTAAATGTCGGAATGTTTTCCATTATTGTTATCAAATTCACTAATTCTCATGAGTTATCTTGTTGAGACGAGATTCGATCCTTTTGACAGATTAATCTTTCCTCACAAAAATCCCCCACTGATCAAGTTAATTGACGGTGGGTCCACTAAATTTTCTGTCCGCCAATTCATGGCAATTTCCAAAGCTTGACGTGTTAAGTCATGATTACTTAACGTCAAAACCCTTCATCGAGTGGCCAGTACAAACCAGTATTTCTACTGCTACTTGTATTCCACTCCCTTTGCTTTCAGGTCAAACCTATAAAAGTTAGGGCCACAACCAAAATCCCCTCCCGATTCCTTCAATGAACGAGAGGCTCATAAATTGAGCGATCAAACCTTCCTACAGTTAGGATCGTCTTAAACCTCCCATTTGGTCAAATCTTCCTACAGTTAGGACCAAAACCAAAATCCCTTCTCGATTCCTTCAATGAACGAGAGGCCCATAAATTAAACGATCAAACCTTCCTATAGTTAGGATCGTCTTAAACCTCCCATTCGGTCAAACCTTCCTATAGTTAGGACCAAAACCAAAATCCCCTCTTGATTCCTCCAATGAACGAGAGTTCCACTTTCAAATCGGGTGATCAAACCTTCCTATAGTTAGGATCACCTCAAACTCCCGCTTGGTCAAACCTTCCTACAGTTAGGGCCAAAATCACAATTCACTCTCAATAAACGAGGAATTCACCTTTAATTCGGTAATCCAACCTTCCGACAGTTAGGATTATCCGAATCTGTCCGATTCTCGGAGTGGAGATCCTACTTCTAGTTTCTTTTACGCTGGAAATAGAATATAAAATTCTTTCTTTCCAGAATCAATGAATAGAATATAAAATTCTTCCTTCCTTGTATTCGGGTTCGCCTTCACCCTAAAAGAAGACCGGGAAATAGAATATAAAATTCTTTCTTTCCCTTCCAGGATCAGGGAATAGAATATAAAATTCTTCCTTCCTTGTTTTCGGGTTCGCCTTCACCCTAAAAGAAGACCGGGAAATAGAATATAAAATTCTGCCTTTCCCGCATCGATCTTTTCCGAAATTTATCAATTTAGGATTCATCCTAGGAAGTTTATCCCGAATCCTAAGCAGGGATAAGTCTGCGCCTGACACGCGCTGCCGGTTAGTTCTTAACCGTTTAAAAAGAACACCCGTTCACATATTCGACATTGTGACAGGTTGTTATTAATAACACCAGAATCCATGCCTTACACGCATGGGGAATTTCATCCTGAATCCTAAGAAAGGATATGCCGACGCCTAACACGCGTCGCCGGTTTAGTCTTTCTCCGTAGAAAAAGACACCAAAGTTCGATTCTGGGGTATTTTATCCCGAAATCTAAGTAGGGATAAGTCAGCGTCTAATACACATTGCTGGGTAGCCTATGCCCATAACAATGGCGAAGTCTACGTATTCGAAGTCGTAGCAGTGAGTCTAAGGGAGTTCATTCCGTTAGCATAACGTCACATGCGGAACGGATTTAGACAATCCGCATGCTAGCCCGATTCAAACGGTAGTCGGTAAAGGCTTATCAAATCAAACCCGTTGAAGGCTGGGGATTAGCCAAAAATCCTAAAGTCAACACCTAACACGTGTCGCCGGGTAGCCTATTCCCGTAACAATGGCGAAGTCTATGTATTCGACATCATAGCACAAAGTCTCAGAGAATTCACTCTCTTAGCACAACGTTACATGCGAACACGGATTTAAACAATCCACATGCTAGCCCGACTCAAACGGTAGTCGGTAAAGGCTAATCAAACCCATTAAAGGCTGGAGGTTAGCCAAAAATCCTATAGTCAACGCCTAACACGCGTTGCCGGGTAGTCTATTCCCGTGAGAAAGACGAAGTCTACGTATTCAATATCGTAGCACTAAGAGCGTTAACTCTCTTAGCATAACGTCACATGTGGAACGGACTTGGACAATCTACATGCTAGCCCAACTCAAACGGTAGTCGGTAAAGGCTCATCAAACCCGTTGATGGCTGAGGGTTTGCCAAAAATCCTATAAATGCGAGTCACTGACGCATCAGCTTCATTAGTTGGTCTCGTGATTTGAGCATCCAACGACTTCAGGATAAAATCTGTATCCGCACACGAATCAACTTTTATAGTTGGTCCTGCAGTCCCAGCATTTGGAACCGTCACGCTCCAACACCTTAAAGAGCTTAAACTGTGTAGACCCAAGGTTAACGCGTGGCAATGAAAGTCAACGTACGACGTTCGAAACCCTAGGATCAACGCTGGTCAACGCGTAACCCTAGGTCAACGCCGGTCAACGCGTTGCGATCAAAAAGTCAATGTACGACGTTCGAAACCCTAAGGTCAACGCCGGTCAACGCGTAACCCTAGGTCAACGCCGGTCAACGCGTAACCCTAGGTCAACGCCAGTCAACGCGTTGCGATCAAAAAGTCAACGTACGACGTTCAAAACCCTAAGGTCAACGTCAGTCAACGCGTAACCCTAGGTCAACGCCGATCAAATGCGTTGCAATCAATACTCTAATAAGGTATACGAGTATAAACTATTCCCTATTTTTTTTTTTTGGTTGAGAAGTTTCTGGAGAATATTTTTCTAAAAAATATTCTTAAGGATAACTCAACAACACGACGTCGGACAACGCGTCAACGATCGATGGTCAGTTCTATATTGAACCAGCAAGCACGAGCTAAAGATCATAAAATCAGGAATCGACTTCAAGTTCAGAATTTCGACAACGGTCAGACAATAAATGCAGCACCGGAACCCTTACAGATATTCGACGAAGCACCGAATAGCCTGAAGGATTGAAGGAATCAAGAACAGAAGCCATTCCAAGGTCCCGTTACACCGACTGAAGGTTGGGACAATCATATCCAAAGTATTCCAGACTCTTCTATAAAAGAACGAGGCTGAAATACTTTGGAGGGGGTATCTGTAGGCGTATAAAATTACTTATAGGACCCTTAGCACAGCTCGGTACAAACCGACGAACCATCGGGCGACATATCCAAACACGAGCGTCAGTCCACAACGCCGAAGCCAAGTGACACGCAACGAAGCGGATTAACGAGGCGACGAGGCTAACGAACCGCACGCAAACAATGGAATACATCCACTCGCATGCGGAATCAAGCTAACGGTTCGGTGAGTCAAAGAGTCATCCAACTGTAGAACGGATTTGAACTCAATCACCGAAGCGGATTTACTGCCAAATCAGAGTTCAGATCAACGGCGAAGCTCGGATAAACCGATAAATCGCGAAACCGGACAACGGACTTTCAGATCTGGTTCCAGAGACTATAAATAGAGAGGGAGGTTCATTTTTCAAGGGGTTGGAATTTTCAGAGCCGAAACTCTGCCGGATTGAGAATTGGACTTGAACTTTTGAAGCTTTGAAGACTCGACTTTCAGATCTGGTTCTTAGCGATCGTCCACGCCAAATAAGGCAGGGGTTCGAGAGAGATCAGATCTGAGATCTGTACGGTTTCCCTCCGGATCAAAGCTTGGCCTTTGATCCCGAAGAGATCAGATCTGAGATCTGTACGGTTTCCCTCCGGATCAAAGCTTGGCCTTTGATCCCGAGAACTAAAGGCTATTATTTCCTTGGTGAAATAGTACCCCCGGCTGTTATTTCCTTCGTGAGATAACACCCGCTATACCGTGTAGATCCGACCGGATCAAGATCGCGCGGTGGTCCACGGATTAACCCCGGCGCAGGCGAAGAACCCACAAAAGCGAGTGACCGTAAAACAGGAGCTCGTGATTCGTTCGACAAACAAGGAAGATTGTAACTTTTTCTTTTTCTTTTGATCTCGTTGTAACCGGATCTTATAAAAAGACCGGATCTTTGTAATCGATAAACTATTACTAAAGAGTGTACAATGACTTCAATGAAAGCTACGATTTTTCCCGCGAACAAATTAGAGAGAGAGAGACATGTTGACTATGTAAGATTGAAAGGCTAGTCAATGTTGGAGAATGCAAAGGATGGAAGGTTGAAGGTTGTCACGAGAAAGACGGGAGATCCATGAGTAGGCTTGAAGGCCATGATTAATGCATGGGGTTGGTGAAATGATGCATTAATCATTCGTCTTCTTGAATTTCTCATTGGGGGCTATAAAAAGAGATGTGTTAGTGTTGAGAACGAGATCCTCTTGGTGAGAGGGAGGATACTCCTAGGCCTCTTGAGTGCCGAGTGTACTCTGTCTTTGAGAGATGTGGTGTAATACTAATGGTAGCCTCTTAGAGCTCTCGAGCGTGGGTGTGAGATGTGCAAGGATGTGAGATGTGCGAGGGTTTACAAGCCTATATCATGTGAAACCTGTCCGGGTTTGTGAAGATAGTGAATTTCCCTGGTGAGGAACAATGGAGGCAGGCACATTTAGCCAAACCACGTAAACTTTCTGTGTTCTCTTGTTGCTTGCACTTCCTTATTGTGCGATTGTTTGTTGTGCTCCATAAAAACCCACCATAAAAGGAACTAAATTGGGGTAACTGATGGGTTTGGGGACTCATTTGATAATATCAAATTGTGGGCAACTTCTTTCGTAACAGATAAGATATGGGGACAATATCTCAAAGAACCCAAATAACATTAGAGATCAAACCTTAGAGAATTGTTGGAGTTATAAAATCTGGAGAGGCGATGTCGGGTCAATGGCTTGGGCTTCACCGCCTTCTTTCGAAGTCCGAAGATCTCCTGAACCAAAGGCACGTGAACCAATACCGTCTTCCAAGCCACAAACCAACCTAAAAAGAAAAAAAAAGAAAAATCCCCAAATTAGATAAAAACCACAACTTTTTTCGAGTTAGATGCGAGGATTTGGGGATTAGGGTTTGGATATATAACATACTGAAGAGGATTATTGAGAAGACGAAGACGATAGCGAGCAGGGGACGGAGGAGGAAGACGACGGCGAACTCCCACCATGATCTAAATCCATTGGATTCGTAAGTTTCCATCGAAATTTGATCAAAACGGAAAAAATAAAAATAGCGAGGCTGCGATTTCTTGAGCGCGAGAGATAATTGTATATAAAGCGTGCTGTGGGGCCCAAAGTTACTGTGGTTTATGCGAGTAGCGGTTGATGGATAATTCTGATTGATTAATTAATTATAATTGTATTATTTAAGTTGAATTTGAAAATTTTCCGAGGCGAAATTGGGGAAATCAGGTTCAAGCCACGACAAGAACTGAAGCGAATTATTAATTGTTATCCGCACGGGAGAGTTAGGCACTGTTTGGCAACCAAAAAAAGTGTCTTATCTAAGAGCTTGTGTCTTATTGACTTGGTCAATAAGCTAGTAGAGCTGTTTGGTGACCAAAAATAGGAGGAGATTATTTTGGAGATTGTGTCTTTTGCAAGTAGCTTTTGGAAAGCTATCTCAAGTAGCGTTTGTCTTTGGGAAGGAGCTGTCAATTTTTTTCTTCCGTTTTTGCCCCAAATAATTCTAATTTTATATCAATAATATTGCATGACCTTTTTAGTCATTTAACAAATTTAAGCTAGTTGTACAGCTTCTTTTGCCAAACAGCTCTAGTCAATCAGCTAGCTACACAGCTATCAGCTTTCAGCTACAATTTCACAGCTTTCAGCTAGCTTGACAACTTTCAGCTATAATCTCACAGCTTTCAGCTAGTTTTGCCAAACAAAGCCTTAGAATATGGGAGGAGTCAATTATCAATTTTTTTTTTCCATTTTTCTAATTAATTTGAGAAACGTTTTAGACGAATCAATAAATTGTTTTTTTAGTAACTCTGTATGATCTATGTTTATAGTTCAATTGCGATTATGACATTTTCACTGTTATTTTGATTATATATACGAATCTATCAGCAAGTAAAGATTGATATCCCGTCAGAAATAAAATGTAAATGGTTTGATTGTCTAATTAATTTTAGAAATCTAGTTGTATATAGTGTATGAAAGGTGGCCTTACAAGTTGGATGTCTGCGTAATAATAGGTAAGAAGCTTGATTTCGCAAAAATAGAAAAAACTTATTGTCGCCTTATTTTCTCCGTAATAGATAAGAAGCTTGATTTTGAAAAAAAAATAGAAAAACTTACTGTCACCTTATTTTCTCCAACTTTATGGTTTACTTATCGTCACCTTGTTTTCAAATTAATTAGACTATCAAATCATTAACATTTTATTCCTGATAAGAAAACAAGGTGCATAATATATATCTTTACATTGAGCAAATGATAGATCCGTATACATAACCAAAATAACAGTGAATATATGTCATAGTCGCCATTGAATTATAAAGATAGATAAAACAGAGTTACTAAGAAACAGTTTATTGATTCGTCTAAAAAAAGTTTCTTAAATTAATTAAAGAAATAAAAAAAATGATAATCGACTCCTCCTATATTCTAACTCTCCAATGTGGATAACAATTAACAATTCTTTCTGTTTTTCTTGTGGATCAAATCGGATTTTTCCAATTTCACCTTGGTGAGGGATGGTTAATATATTTCTTGTATTCCATCTAAAAATAAACAAATAAGAACATAAAATAACAGTGTAGTTAGATAAACTAAATAAGGATAAAACATTAAGTTCGTATGAACTTCACATATGACGTACCAATTTAGGATTCTGATCCTCTCCAGTACAAAAAAAAAATAATGCAATATGGAGATATTAGTATTGTTATGGTGTTCACTCACCCAAGATATAATATTTGCGAAATGATACGATAATAGTCCTAAGCAAAACAAACTCAACCCTTTGACCGACTCCCACAGTCATCTCTCGGCCTTAGGGGAAAGAAAAACCTACCAACTCTCAAGAGTTCCAGGCATTCAACTCCTCGGTCAAATATCAAGACCTTGGTACCTTATCAGGGATAAGCACAACTACTCGTCAAGACGACACCCTGGTGTTGACACAAGAGGTAATACTAACCGGTACAAGAGATCCTGAACTCCCAAACAAGCCTACACTCTTGAGTCGACACGAAAGGCGGTGTCGGTCAATCCTATTTAGGGCACTCGACCACTCACTGGACATTTCTCAGAAACGATTTAAGGGACGTTCCCTGCTGTCGACTAAATTAAGGACTCGACTCCGGTCTCAAGCCTCTCCCCCAGAGCAAATGTCGACATCTCAGTCCACCTCGAACAAGCCTTATCCAGATTTTGGCCTGATAAGTCTCCACGACTTGTTAGCTCAATCACTTCCCTGAAAAAGTGGAGACATCCTCTCCAGAGCTGAAGTGACTTCCCATCCAGTCGCCAGTCGACACCTGTAAAGCGAGGGACGCCTCAGAATGCCCATGTGCCTTCTGCCACGCTCACAAGTTACTTCCCGGATATCGCGGAGATGTCATCTCCCATGCTAAGATGACTTCCCCTCTAGTCGCTAGTCGACACCTGTAGAGCGAGGGATGACTCACCTTCCAGCTCACTCTTTGTCACCGTCATTCTGCATGGCCGAAATAACCAACCTGCCATGGACGTCCACTCTATATATGGAGGTTGTTCACCATCAGAAGGAGGGACCGAGAGAGAAAAAAGAAGAGAAAGTAACCTAATCTAACCTAATAAACAACTCTCGGGGCAATTTAAATCTTCCTCCTGATCTAAACTGAGAGATGGTGATATCTAATGCACCTAGCATAAGAACCTATAGTTCTAAACTCCACTCAAGCTCACGTTTATCAACTGACTTGATCATCGGAGATATCACGAGGGAACTAGTCCCTGCCCTCTTACGGGTTTGTTCTTCTGGTCTTTGCAGCGGATTGAGACATCCTAGTTCAAGAACTCGGCATAAAGCCGAAGAAGGGAGCAGGCTAGGCCCTCCATCATTCTTCATCACCCCGCAACCATCATTTGCTGGATTAATTGGCTGTTTAATATTGAGCATCAACAAGTACATTATCAAAACCCTTGATTACCTAGTGGATGAGTATAATATATGATGTATGATAAGTGTTAGATTGAGAATAAATCACAATCACCCAAATAATCAATGATTGTAATTTAAAGTAGTGGTACCCCCATTACGTTTTTATAGTGAAGATGGGAGAGGATGCAAATCCATCAACTTATACTAGAGTTCCTTAGTTGGTTACCGGTGAAACAAAATTGTCTTAAATTTTCTCAAATAAAAAATACACTATATTGTTAGATATGAGCTCCCGTTAATTTGTATTAGTTTTTGAGATATACCTCTATTTCGTATAAAACTTATATTCAACTACTAATTACTTGTAATGGTTGATTACATATTCAACAATCGAGCATTATCCCATTTTTCCAATGATAGTAAGTAGTGAAGGCTTTCCTTTTCGTCGCTAGACATGCCTCTTCTACTGTTTTGCCTCTCTCATCCGAGAAACACGTATATGATTACCACATATCAATACTCGATAAAATATAATTGTCGATGCGGATATGTAAGGCTGGATTGGTAGGTATACCAATTACATTTTCCTAGTACCAAGTACCAACCAATATATAATTGGTAGGAAAAATTCACCATTTCTACCAACCAATAACGTTGGTATACCAACTACTTGGTACGGTTGGTACGGTTGGATTGGGTTTCTACCAAGTATGTCTTTTGCTAGTCAGTCTGTAGAAGCTCTAAGATCTTTCATACATATATGAGCTTATACCAAGTTTCTTACAATTATATTTTCATGTTGCTGTCTTTCGATTCACTGCTTCAACGAGTTCGCTCCTCGCCTTTTCTAGCGCATCCAACAGCTTTTCTGGTTTCCTGCCACGGTTGGTAATGTGTGATGTATGATGAGCTCTGGGAATTGCTAATAACCATAGGCAACCACTAACAATTAGCAGTATTGCAATACACCATCATTATAGAAACACATATAATTAAGTCTCAAAGAAACTAACCAGTCATTGATTCGACAATAATTTGCTTAAGCAAAAAGGAATTACAGGCAATATCATATTATCAAAAAGGTAACAAAAACTAGTAATGCATGTAATAGAGGTATGATTTTAAGAGACAATGGGCAACCAAGTTCTTGATAGGAGTTAAGATATACCTTCACGCCTTCAACTTGAGTTATAGTCTTTTTGATCGGTGCTAAGGTAGGTAAGGGGACACCAGCATCAACTAGTTCCATGACACTGTACATTATATTGAAGTAAGAAATCATATTAGATGATTAGGAAAAAAACCATATAAAGCAGCAAAATAACTTGAACCTAATTAATCAAACGAAAACTGCATGTATGCTAGTTAATGTTCATTTGCAAGCCACCAATTGTGTCATAAAATGAATGTGAAATAGAAGAGTTAGACAACGTATTTGGTAGGTACGGTTGAGATTTATCTTCCCTAAATCTATGGTTGAGATTTAAGGATATATATATAATTTATATATTAAATAATTTAATATAATATAAGTTGGTAGGTACGGTATACCATGGTAGAGGAAAATGTGTACCACCTACCGTACCATATTTTGAAGCTGGTACGGTATACTGTATCGTGTACCATGTACCAATTTGATGGTATACCAACGTATTTGGTACGGTTGGTACATGAATTGGTTGGAATGGAATTGTGTACCATTGCCAGCCCTACGGATATGTGCTGAAGTATGGACAAATTTTCAAAACCAACCGTTTTAGGATTTTAATTGCAAAAACCGACCCTTTTTGATAATAATTGCAAAAACCGACCTGTTTTCAGCCCAGCGCTGAAAACAGGTCGGTTTTTGTAAAAAATTCTCCGAAACATCACGGGAGTTCAACTCCCGTGAAGTTTATGGAGAAATTAAACTTCACGGGAGTTCAACTCCCGTGAAGCTTAATTTGTGCTTAAAACTCCACGGGAGTTCAACTCCCGTGGAGTTACAGTCAACAATTCTCGGTTCTCTGGGAAATTGGGACTGCAACTTCACGTGAGTTAAACTCCCGTGAAGTTACAGGTCATCCAGAATGCACAGCCTGCTGTGCATGTTAAAACATATGTACCTGTTAACTCATATATATGCCAATTTATTTGCAAACAACAATATATACATGATTCAACAATGAATTATAACTCATATATATGCCAATTTATTTGCAAACAACAATATATACATGATTCAACAATGAATTATAACTCATATATATGCCAATTTATTTGCAAACAACAATATATACATGATTCAACCATGAATTAAACACACACGATTATGTATATGAACAACAATTTATCTTCAAAAGTTCAGTATTTGAAAATTCAGGAAAGTTACAAAATTTATCAAAATAAGTTCATATACAACCCAATATAGCTCCCCTCCTTCCTCTCCCTCTCTTCCCCCTCCCCCTCGCTCTTCCCCGCCCCCTGGGTTCCTACTGATGAGCCTCAACTATCTGAGTATCCGGCTGTGTATGAAGCTGCGAAGTGCCGGCTCCATCGGCATGCGAAGTGCCGGCGTCATCATCACGCGGCCGTCGACGTCGAGCGTACGCCCGTCCAAATGAGCGAGACCTGTCCTCACGGCCTGCGAACTCGTCGACGTGAGTCTTATGGAACACCTGCGCTATGCTCTTCTTGATCCTGCTGAGGAGACCTAACGCCACCTGATCCTGAATCTCAGTCACGTGCGCATCAATATCAGCATCAATGCTATCTAAAACACGGACCTGCGTGGTAAACAATTTATTAAGTATCAACTCAATAAAAAATATTATAATTTAGCTTAGAAACTTACGTAATCTCTCTCGTTCATCCCACTAGGGATGTAACTATCTGTCGGTGGGCGTGGCATGTGTCCAGCTAAAGGCTGTGGGTCACGCGTGATCCATCTACGTGTGATACCCCAATACCAACGCATATACGTGGTATAGTCAACAGCTGTGGGCCTCGTATCCTGTATGCAATCCCACCTCTGAACCCACCTGCCTATGTAGTCCGCACGGACTACGGCCCAGTCAGTCCGGTGCGATGTAGGGCGCCGCCGACGATTGATCTGCTCGACAGGATCTGGAATATGCTGAGAGAGTGTAAACTGCCGTAGCACACGGTCCGGTACATGCATCTCTACGATCTCCCAACAGATCAATGGAACTCTGGCTCTCCACAAGTCGGGACTATCTCGGCAGATAGGTGCAAGAGAATGTATATCGAGCTCCGGCGGTGTATAGGGTCTCCACTTGAACTGAAATAAAATAAAACATTTATCAGTATCATACAGAAAAACTATAATATTCATACTTCTTGAGTTTTATATTTACCTGTTCATGCTGGAGGCCATCAAGCTCATTTCGGTAAAACTGACGGTGACGCGTCGCTGATTTGTACTGAGCGTATCGCACGTTATACCTATATGCAGAATAGCGAATATATAAGTACAAATATTCAGGTTACGAATGAAATATGTGTGTGTACAATTATACCTGTATGCCAACGGATACTGCCCCTCTAAGTCACGGTGCATAAGTAAAGTGGGTCGTCCAATATGAATGCGCTCCCATGACCAAATCTGTATCAACGTACAGCATCCCTTGAATTCTTTATTCTGCATCAGAGATACTCTACTCAATTCTCGATACAAATATGCCAACACCGCACTGCCCCACGATAGTGCCCCGCATACACCAAAATCCTCCAGCAGTGGCAGCCATCGTGCATGTACGAGAGTCTTGCTCGCATCAGGAAATAGTACGCACCCTATCATGTGCAATATGTATGCACGAGCATGAAACTGGAGCGTCTCATCAGAGGCATCCTCTGGTATGTCGCCCTGAAATGTCTGACGAAGCCACGATAGCTTCATCGCACCACTCCTCAAGTCGGGAACCTGTCCAAGTAGCCGGGCACATACCTCCGGCCAACTATGATCGTCGGTGCCCGTAACTACCGGTCCATCAATCCGGAGCCCAAGTATGACGGCCACGTCCTGTAAAGTGATCGTGCACTCCCCTATATGCATGTGAAAGGTGTTGGTCTCTGGCCTCCACCTCTCAATCAAAGCAGTGATAAGCGGCCAATCAAGCCTGATATAACGAATCGTCGAACACGGTCGAAAACCGGCCTGAGCGATCAAAGCTAGTACCCTCTCATCCTCTATGACCCATGCCGAATGACTATGGGAATGCTCGATCATCGTGTACTCTGGTACGGGCTGCACATAAAACGAGAATCAGTTTTAAGTATATTCATTAAAAAATTACATTAATCGAAGAAATATATATCTAATTTATTCGTATTACCTCTCCCGAACCAATATGGTCTGAACAATGACTCGCCTGAAGGTACAAAACGTCGGGATTCTCCGGTCCCGGATCCATAATGAATAGACCTGTGATTAAAATATGAGCATATATACAGAGTGCATGGGTGGCGGGAAATGTCGTTGGAGTGCTCTTGGAATTCCTTTCATCCTATCGGATATGAATGTAATATGCCGCGTCCCCACACTAGGGATATGATATCTAATGCATGCAAAAAACCAAGCCCAATTCTCTGTATTTTCAACATCAACCACTGCGAATGCTAAAGGAAACAACCCGCCATCCGCGTCAACTCCGGTTGCAACAAGCAAAACGCCTTTGTATTTACCATATAAGTGAGTTCCATCAATGCTAAGAAGAGGACGGCAATGACGAAACCCCTCAATACAGGGCCCAAATGCCCAAAATACACCGGTGAACCGCCGTTCTCCGCCATCAACGGGGTCCGAAGATACTTCGTAGACAGTCCCCGGATTTTCTCTTTTGAGTGCTTCAAGATAATGAGGTAAGATCTCATACGATTTATCCCAATCCCCGAATATTTTTATCATCGCCTTCCTCCTAGCATTCCAACACTTGTGATATGATACATCCAAGTTGGTGGCTTTATGCACTAAAAGACGGATATCTTTCGGCCTTAGATCAAGATCCTCCCTCAGATGCGGTAAAATCAATCGATATATAAAAGAAGAGGACGCATTCTTGTTATTCATCTCTAATCGAGGATTGCTACAAGTGTGGAGTCCATTGTATGCCGTGATTTTGAATTGCCCACCTACTCTTGAACCCGAGCGTGAATTAAGCTTCCACGGACACCTCGCATTGCCGTCGTGGTGTCCACTATTATCTTCGACATCGTCATCTTTGCGATAGAAACAAACCACATTATAGCTTGTAGTATTATTTTTGGTTGGCCTGAACTTCACATTTTTTGCAATGGAATACGTGCGAATAGCATGGATCAATTTCTCCTGGGAAGCGGCGTTTGGGAACGAAGCGGAAATATTAGGGTTTGTGGGCTGGGGTCGGGTGGGTCACGCGCGGTTAAATAGGGGGTACCAAACTCCACGGGAGTTCAACTCCCGTGGAGTTGCAGTGCCAATTTTCCAGAGACTCGATCTCTGGAAAATTGGCACTGCAACTTCACGGGAGTTGAACTCCCGTGAAGCTGCAGTCACAATTTCCAGAGATCGATTCTCTGGATTTGCTGACTGCAACTCCACGGGAGTTGAACTCCCGTGGAGTTTTAAGCACAAATTAATCTTCACGGGAGTTCAACTCCCGTGAAGTTTAATTTCTCCATAAACTTCACGGGAGTTGAACTCCCGTGATGTTTCGGAGAATTTTTTACAAAAACCGACATGTTTTCAGCGCTGGGCTGAAAACAGGTCGGTTTTTGCAATTATTATCAAAAGGGGTCGGTTTTTGCAATTAAAATCCTAAAACGGTTGGTTTTGAAAATTTGTCCGCTGAAGTATCCATATACATTTTTGGAATATTTGAATACATGTTTGTCATAAATTTATAATTATTTTAATCAGTAGATTAGTGGAACTTTGATAACCAAGAGATCTGATCGTCGCTTTTCAGATTTAACGAATATACATACTAATATACCCACGCGAGATTTTAGCATATATGAATACGGGTTTTCATTATTAATGTCTTTCCGCATTTCATAGCCGTTGTTAATAAGCAAACACGGATACTGCTTAGGGGTCACGGGCCAGGCCTTTACCTGAGCCTACCCTTTAAAAAACTATGGGCTACGTATAGGCCTAGCCCATAAAATACCTTCCGACCTTCGGTAAAACTGGAAGGCAACCATGCGTCTTACGATTCTCGGCAGTCATCAGTCCACAAATTTATGCAATCAGTCAAGAGCCAATCGGGTTTGCTGCCTCATCAGTTTGTGACCTGCTCCCCATCAGATCAGAGGGTCAATTTTCAATCTACCGAGAACCAAGATGCCACGTAAACTTTTGACGCTCACAAGCAACTACTACTGCGTCCATCAACTGGGGAGAGCTCAAATCTCATGCGTTGTTGTTAACCTAACATTAGCTCTATAAAATAACTTGTCAGATATTGCTACTATAATTTCCGTACTATATTGATTGATAATTTTTGGAAATGTCGGGAGTCAATTTTTTTTCCCCACTATAATCAATAGATACCGTTGCGACTGCATTTGAAGAAGGGCTCTCGATTAGCCGAAGACATGCACACTTGGTTTGAACGTAACTCACGGTTGCAACTCGGATTATAACTCTTAAGGTTTCGTTTGGTACGCGGGAATGATGTGGAATTGAATGGACATTCTCAATTCACATTCCTTCTTACCAAACACGCCCTCTTTTTTGAAATTGGAATGTCCATTCACACTTCTCATCAATTCTAACTTTATGTGGGAATAAGCATTCCCAATGAAATGATAGGGAATGAGCATTCCCACTTAAATGAGAATCAATAAAATATACAATTTTAAAATAAGTTCATTCTCACTTTATTTTATAAATTACACCCAAACGTGAGAATGAGAATGACTATTCCATTCTCACATTAATTCCATTCTATTCTTTCTTCCATTCCATTCTTATTTGAGTTCATTCCTGCGTACCAACCGAGGCGTAAGCCAGTTCATTATTGTTTTTTTTTAAAGTGCTTCTCCTTATTTTTTAAGAAGCAGGCAATAGTAATGTTTGGGAGAAAACAAAGTTTTGCATGCTTGTTAAAAATACTCCTATTTTTTAGGGAGTGCGTTTAGAAGTAATATGAGAATAGTTTAAAAAGAAGTTTCTGCTTTTTGTAATTTATATACTATTATACCTTTAGATTTTGACGGTATTTTTTAGCAATAATAAATATTATGTGTATTTGTATCATTTTCACTTATAATGATCTCTAAGCATAGTTTTATCAAATGTTTTAATTACTTCTGAAATTAGTTTATGATATACGATTATCAAATGACTATTTTCAACGTCCTACATAAGTTATTTTTATAAGCTATTTATATAAGCAACTTGTTACAAGTTCCAACAATACTAAACTGATCCTAATTATAACCAACTATCCGTAGAATTAAAAATTTAATACCAAAAGCTAACTAATAAAGCCGTAGCTACAAATGTAAAATTGTACAACAAAACTAACTACAAACACAGCTATACAATACGGCAAGCGCAATAATTACATCTGAATGCAATTTACACTGGCTTTGCACTTTCTGCAAACAATAAAAAAACAAATTGGCCCCAATATAAAAAGAAGCTCTGCGACCAAGCACGTGACTGGCCCTGACATTGAGTGTTAATTTCGGTCCTGTAGCTTTCTGTACCAACCTGTGCTCATCTATTTCCTGTTTCCTACCACTACATAGCTCCTTAGCATTTGTCCTCTTCTCTATCAAAATAAATCTTATATTTACATTATCCAATCCAAGTACAGCACCAAAATCAAACCCTTTATAGGGCCTCTCTCAGCTACAGACACACCCTCAGACATACCTTGCACATTCTCTCTCTCAGTTACAGTGCACGGGACCCACACATGAGTTTTTTTAATCTCACGTGTGGACTCCGTACACTATAGCTAAGAGAGGGAGCGTGACACAAGATGTGCCTAGGGTGTGCTTGTACCATTTTCCCCCTTTATATTATCAAATCACCAAATGATAAATCCCCATAAACACAGATTATATGCACACGTCTAAGACTCTAATAAATGAAAACAAGGTACGAAAGTACATGAAATGATTGTACCCGTGAGCTTTTTTTCCTTTTCTCATCTCTTCCATCTCAGTCCACTTTTGTTCCTTTATATAACACCAAAGAGCCTAGTCTCAATCTCTCCTCTCTCTCCACCTAAACATGGACTATTTTTCTTCTTCCTGCTATTTCTCAGCTTCAACAAGATTTAATGGCGAGAATGAGGAAGGGATGGTGATGAGGAAGAAGAGGGTGATGGTGGTGATAGATGAGAGCTCAGGAGCAAAGCAAGCCATGATGTGGGCTTTGACTCATGTTGCAAATGGTGGAGATCTGCTAACTCTTCTCTATGTTGTTAAGAGCTCTGACCATTCTGCTGATGGCCGGAGTAAAGAAGAGGAGGCGGCTTGTTTTGCCAAGTCCCTTGCTTCTTTCTGCAAGGCTTGCAAGCCTGAGGTAATTGACTTCTTGTTCCTCAGAATGAAAAAGTATTTGCTAAGAAAAAAGGAAGTGGGTATTTATGTGGAAGTGGGAGCTTAATTAGGGTGTGTTTGGTTAGCGGCAGTTATATATAGCATCATCTGATTTTACATTTACACTTTTGTTTTGTTGAATGTACTTGGAAGCGTGATAAGATCCGGCCCTTACTGGGAAAATAAAGGGTTTTCTAGATTCATATTAGTTCCTTAAACGTTAGGTATTTTGATATTAGTTCCTTAAATCTTCATATTTTGATATTAGTCTCAAATTCTAACTACTACTAACCAACCGCGCCCTTATTATTTTTCCTGGTCTTAATCAGGTTCAAACCGAAGCACTTGCGATCAAAGGGCCCAAATTAGACACCGTGCTCAGCCAAGTAAAGAAACTAGAGGCATCAGTTCTAGTGCTGAGCCAGAGCAAGCCATCCGCGTTCTCTTGGTAAGGGCGAAAAAAACCATTGATAATCTACATCAATGATCTCATACGCACAAAAAAAAAAAAAAAAACGCCTGAACTCTTTCATATTTTCTCTGATTTTTTGACTACAGTCTCTTTAAGAGAAGCAGTGAGGAGTTTGTGGAGCAGTGCATTGACAGGGCAGAGTGCTTGACGATGTCAGTGAGAAAACAGAGCAGGGGAGTTGGTGGGTATCTTGTTAGCACTAGATGGCAGAAGAATTTCTGGCTGCTTGCTTAAGTTAAAAACTGAACATAATGGAATCCATGACCTTAGTACTAATGTAAATCTAATCACAGAGCACCATGCTTGTTAAGAGTTTAGAATGCATGTGATGTTGTTGATCAGGGCTCAAGCTGCACTTCTTATGTTTAGATCAATTGAATGTGAATAATGCGGTGCAACATCATCTTATGACTAGAAATTTCACGATATTCACGACGAAAGCGCGCTACGTGCACAATTATATGTCGAAGTGTGTGTCCATCAGCACCTGATTCACAACAGTGAAGATCATGGGTGTGCGTAGATCTCCCCTCTTATGAAATATTTGAATTTCGTTTCATTAGGAGGAAAATAATGAAATATAAAGTACTGCATTAGTCTTACCCATGAGATGATAGGCTGTAAAAAGTTGGAGACGAATTCTGATGAGTTCCGAGCTCACATGCACTTGCAACGTTCTACCAAAAGAAGAATAGAGCTCTGGCTACCACAATAAAAGCTGCTTTGTACTCTAGCTGCAACCATTAAGAGAGTATTGGGAGAACATAACAAAATTAATGGAGTTATGTAAGGCCCAGTTGATACAATTTTCATGGAAATATGGCATCGTTGGAATTGAATTGACCAAGTATTTCCTTACTTACGAAAACGTACTTGGAAAACTAAATTTACGTCTTCGCAGCCATGAATCTGGTGTAAACCTGTCCGAAAGTTAATGGTATTGAGAATTTGCCACGCGTATACATCTTAATTACCCCCCACCCCTTTTTTTTGGGAGAGAAACTGAGAGGTCTAAGTCCCCAAGCATTTCATTACAAAGATAATAATGAAACAAGATTATACCTCTAATTCTTCAGTTAAACAACTTACAGTTAAAATGGATAATGCAATAAATAACGTTCAGAATGACAGTGAGCAAGTTACAAAGGCTAGTTGAAACCAAAGGAAGCAACATATTAACATCAGGACATTTGGTAACTCTGGATATTTTTATGCCCATTGCTAAAAGATGAATAAATGAGACCCTTGGTAGTTCGATTCCGAGCTCTCAGCATGATTTTTCAGCTCAGAAGAGAAAAGATCAATCTTCTTGATGACCTTGTCGTCATATCTGATTCTCGTATTAAAATCTTGGAAATAGAAGGTCATGGAGTTGTTTCTCAGCATTCAACTCAGAAGTGGCCTAAATAGAGAAAAAACACAGGACGTGATTTAGTATGAAACCTAACTAAAAATATGCAGACACAATCAGCTTATTGGCTTTGAGGAAAAAAACAGAAGATTTAGTACAATTTGAAACGATCAAGTCCTTGACTAATTATAATATCTAACGTTTACAATTTACATATGCCGTCATTTATACTATACAGAAGAGAAAAACCAAGTTTATCAAGGTTATGTTCAATCTTCTATATCATCTTCTATGCTCCATTTTTTTTTGGGATTTTTTTTAACTGACAACTGACCCAAACCCTGTATATGCAAGTTATTTATCTTGTATACTCCTTAAGTTACCTTAATTTATTCCAAATTAGTGCCACCAAAATAAACAAAATAACATTGGGATTAAATGTTTTCATCCAGCTGAGGGTACAAATTCGTACACAAGATGGTGTAGCCCCGGGTTGAATATAGCAAAAGATGGTTGCCAAATTGAGTCTGGACCCAAAACTCTGGTAGGGGTTTGTCTTTTGGTTTCATATGGATTCTAAACCTATTAGCTACTCCCATCACAATATCAGCCTACACTCATAACAAAGAGAATAAACATAGCATGACATTAGGAAGTTCCCCACATGAAAAACAACAAAGATCAGATAACTCTACTAGTGCTTAACAAAAAATGGTGTGGATCTCCAACGATGAGTTTTGATAATAATATAAAAACCTCAGCTAAATTTTAAGAATTTAATCTTAACAATAAAAAAAAGTAACATGACTTTTCAGAAAATTCTGAAATAACATACCCTTGTCTTGAATGCAAATCTTAAGGTTTGTACTTGTGTCCCTGAGCAAATCCTCAAGTCAAAGCCAAGACTATCTATACCTGTTATAGCAGCCTCCTGCAGTAAATATAGAGAAATACATAATGCAATTAAAAAAATGCTAATGGTATCTGATAAACGGGAAGGATACCTCTAGCAGATATTTATGTACATCAATAGCACTGCCATAGGCAAAATTGGCATGCATTCTAGTACTCAGAAATCTACTCAGAGAAAGAAAAGTGCATCTACACAAAAAGTGTGCCACCAGTCAATCAATATCCATTTATGATACATTTCAAAAAAAAAAATCCCATTATGATATCAAGGCTTGGTAGACACTATGTAAGCATGCAACCTCATGAACAAATAAAGATATGCATTTGTCAAAAACAACATAAGAACACCATCGGAACTGTTGAAGATAGCGATCAAATTGTTACTTGCCATAATCATGAGTAGCACAAGTATTGTGCATAGCTTCAGAAGTAGTCTTCAAGTAATACTTTGATTTGCAAAGAAAATAGTGATTCGTACATCATTTTATATCCAGATAACTGAAGTGCATATGGATGATGCAAGGTGATTTGCTCACAAAAATGATCGACATTACAAGTGATTGATTACCTACCTCTACTTGGATACTCTTGAGTCTCCAGCAAAGGGATTTGAGAGCTTGAAAGGTCTTGTCACCGGCAGCCTCTAGCTGAGATATTATCTTTGCAGAATGACGGACAACAACATCTGGCCTAGCTCTTCGAAAATCTTGAACTTCCACCAAAGACTGGATGGCAGTGGATCAAAAAAAGTCTAAAAGATATATAACACACTTTTACATAATGAGAAGAGTACATGAAAATTGCATCCAAACTTACATATAAACTATATCAAGTTATATGAGCATGTGCAAAAATAGAAATATTCAGAATCTGGAGGTGAACTTATGATTTTGTTCAAACTTCATATTTTAAGTCTCTTCTTGTGTTGAAATTACATGCATTAAATGGATAAACCAACAATTAAACAACCTCATGAGAAGAAAAGCATAAGATGTTAAGAAACATGCCTCAGTGCCATATGAAGAAACTAGTTGAATTCTAATCATCTCCAGCTTGTAAAATGCAGTTGCACTGTGTAAACTTTGATCTTTATCCAGCTCCTCTGCCCAAAATGCAGCATTCTAAGATATAACACTTGAAACTATTACACGTTTATGTCAGAAAGGGGATAATACCTTTCATATTTGTTTCTACAACTTCCCCAAGGTGGTGGGTTTTATTATTATTAGTACCACCTACTGACAAATGCTTTTTAATGAAGCTGTTTTCTTCCTGAAATGCAGGTCTTAAGACACCTTGAACAACAATACTAGCAGAAGGCTGATCCATCCAGTCCAAATTGACATTTGATACAACCTGTTACACAAAAGTTCAAGTAAAATGTGATACCGAATTCGTAATATAATGTAATTGTATCCTGTCCTCACAATGACAATGTTATTTTGTTGAAAAGCAAGAAATATTTAAAAATAACAATATACCTCCTCAATTTTCCTAGCAAAGTACATTGGATGAGAAGATTGCATGGTCTCCAAGTTCGACCAATCATTTGATGTTTCAGAAGAAATCAAGTCATCTCCTTCATCTTCAAGAATAGTAAATGCATCCTGCAGTAGAGAAAATAGACTATAGCTAAGCATTAGACATATTTATCACCAACAGATAGCAAGATAAAAGAAGAAATCACAAAGGTGCGGGCATTTTTTACCTCATCAGAGTCCTCATCGACATCACTGTCTTCATCTACTATTTCTTCCGTGCCAAAATCCAAATTAGATGGCCCTGAAAAGTCCATCTCCTCGAGCATTTCTAAATTATCCAAGCCTATTATAACTTGCTGCACTGAACGAATATACCTACTGAGGCATCATAACCAAATTGTAACAAAAGTTTGTAGTGAAAGTGGAAAGTCATATGTGCAGTACCACTATTTTATCATCCCCAATCAAGGATTGCAGGACGTCCTCATGGTTGCTCACCTCAAAGTATATATCTGCTCAGAATGTCATGTAGCATTAACATATCACTAAAGGTATTGTTCCAAATAGGAGATACAGAAAGTTTGAAAGTTAAGGAATATCACCTTTTAGCTTACCTCCACGCTCATCGGTTAAGTAGGGCAAGTCAGGCCAGATGATGTTTTCATGAATTTCATCATCAGATAGTCCTGAAAACATAAGTGTTGCCTTGCTATTCACCTGTACATAGCACAGCCTAAATATAGTACAATATCTTGACTTTTATATGCAAACAAAAAAGAGATAATCAAATTAATACAAAATATAACCACAAATGGTAATAATAATGTAAGAGCATAATTATAACTCACTCTGGAACTATACATGCTAAAGGTATAATAAGAAATAAGTGTAAACTAACAACTAACAAGCCATAGGCAGCTTCAATTGAGAATGAAAAGTGAAGGAGAATAAGTTTAGATGGTTTGAATACATGGAACTGTTAGATATTATTGGTATTTAGATTTAGGAGGTATTATGAGATACTATGAGATGTGATTGGATATGATTTTATCTCATACCTATTTTGTAATATCCTCCTAATCTCTATTTAAGAGAGGTTAGGGTTAGATGAATAATAACTTTGGTTTCTCTCTTTCTGTATAAGAACAGAGATAAATGAATGTGCCAGTTTGGAGCAAGTAAAGAAAAGTAACAGGGATGCTGGAGGTAAGATGTAGGAGTGGGGAATGATGGTAATAAAAATATATCCAATAAGTTAAGAGGTAGTTACAATCCAGAATTTCATTGCTTTTGTTGTAAAAAAGAAGAATCCAGAAGAAAATTCTACTCACGACTAGAAATAATAATAGAGAATGAAATCTTAAAAAATACTGGGATTGTAATGAGTCAAATTAAACCCAAAACAATTTTACAACTTCAACTTTGTATAGGTAAATTTTTTACAGGTTAGGATTGTTTCTATATTCTGGGTCACATATAGGTTGAGAGACTTTTGTTTTGAGTACTTTTAGCATGAAGTTTGTATTTCTTTGCTTATAATTTAGTAATGAATGAGAGAAATTCAACGCTGTATATGACTGAAGCTCACTCTTCCAGGCTGTTACAAGAAGAGTGCGTTCATAATACTCTGTTTTGCTATACTTTCTTGCTACAGGTTTTGCTATACTTTAGTAATACTCAAATTTACATATAGTGTGTTTTGTAGTTATGGGTCCTGGGTTGTGTAGAGAAATAAAAAAGGCAAAATAATATTATTCATCTAAACCAAACCCCTCTTAAATAGATATTAGGATGATATTACAAAATAGATATGAGATAAAATCATATCTAATTATATATCACAATATCTCATAATATCTATTAGATCTAAATACCAACAATATCTAACGCACCCTCTTAAGTTGGAGCATATATACTATATATGTCCAGTTTGTTACAAATGGGTATAACACAACTAGTTACAAGAGCTTTGACAACACCATCTTCGTCTGGAATATTTGAAGACATCAGCAATCAGTAAGTGTAGTCATAGTTAGAAGAAACTCTAGACAGGTAAGTCAGTAGACCTGTAAAAACCTAAGCAGGTAAGCCAGTAGAAACCATAGGCAAATAAGCTATTAGAAATATGTAGCAAGTAGAAAACAAAAGAGGACCCTCGATCGATTCATCACTTGTTCGGTTGCTCAGACTTGATTTTGATGTTCTTTGACGACAAACATGATAACATTGAGGCATCTTGCAGAATATAAAATAGCAAATTTCGAAAGATTTAATTGGAGAAAGCACGAAGGTTGAAGCAATCGCAATAAGATACCGGAGGTACTGTTCATGTCGGGTTACTATTTACAGCAAACAGTACCATGATGAATAGTAGCTTAGCTTTTTTTTTCTCTGAAGGGCTTCTGACGTTAGATCTTTTGTGGCTATTTTTTTAATGAGGATTTTGGAGTTGGTCAAAGTCATTGTCGAAGCCAAAGATGTAGTCGAAGCCACATATGCATAGTTGAAGCCTTCAAGGGGAGCATGAAGGCCAAGCAAAACCCCCCAACCTCAAGATCTCAAAAGATGAGAAAAACCGCAGATGTTGTCGAAACCACAAAGGGGAGCATGAAGACCAAGCAAAACGCCTTAGATGGTCTCGATATTTAAAAAGATGGGAAAAATTCTGTAGAATTAAGTAGGATCTGAAACCAATGTAGAGAATACAAAGTTAAAGTTTATTATTCATTTAACTCTAATCTCTCTAGGAAGATATTATGAAATAAATATGAGCTAAAATCATATCTAATCACATCTCATAATATCTCAACAATATCTCATAATATCTGCTAGATTTAAATACCAATAATATCTAACAGTTTTCATGGAAAAGAGATTTTAAGGGAGTAAAGGCTTTATTCTTTTATGTTCTTTCTTTAGGTTTTTTATTTTTTTATTTTTGTACCTGGGCATTCTCGGCCCCAGGTGATACTTGCATTATTAATTGTACTAAAAAAGTTTCTTGCCTTTCCAAAAAAAGAATGAATGAAAGTTAACCTTCTTACCCAAAAAAAAAACTATGATATTTGATATTTCTCAAGGATTTATCTAAAATTTCTCAATAAAAAGAGAAGACCAAGAATATCAAGGGAGTCTATAACTGAACCACATAGTCTTACTAGAGAAGCACCTAACCGGTAACTGAAGTAAGCTTTTGCTCTTCCATATACTCCAAACTAACTATCACCATCTTGATAAGATAATAAAATCTAAACTAAAGACCATATTTAGTAATTACCCCCTTTCTTGAGTTTTAACTCTCACATCTTACCTGCATACATGTTTTGGGCTTTTCCCTCACTATCCACTAGACATAGCTTTTTAATAATTTTTCTCTTCTTCATTCTTCCAACATTAGATGGTATAGAGTAATGTATTCCGGTAATGCTCATATTCTTCCATTGCCATTTCTCCTTCCAACGGCTCATTATGTTGCCAACCCGAATAAGTTATTATAAAAACTTTTATTATGTCTGGATGCTGACTTCATGATTATTGAAGCTTTACTGGCTTGGCAACTAATCACTGAGAACTTCTTAATTTGAGAAGGAACTGAAAGTAGAGGGTGAGTAAAATCTGAAAACCAGTATCCAAGGTGGTTAACTCCATTAACACAAGTTTATCCCTAATGAACGGCAATAGAATTTGTAATCACTTGCTCATATTATCTTATACTGCGATTTGCCAACCACAATACCAAAAGGTGACTTGCCTTGGTCTTACAAACAGTCTGACCATCAATTTGTTCTGTGACAAAGCTTCTTTGTTTGACCCTGAAGATCACTCATTACATGCATGCCCTCAATTGGGAGATATTCTACCTCCAATGCATTATGTGCTGCTTAACAACTTTCTTAATCCTATTTCTTCTCTTGCACCAACGAATCCATATGCGATCATACCTCTTGCTCTTGGTGATCAACACTTTCTAAAACTTTCCTTTTTATATCTATTTTCCAACACTAAACACAATCATCCACCTCACGGAAACAAAAAAAAAATACTGACACGTCACGAACTCTTGGCTCCCTGTAACCATATGATGAAGATACTCCCCACGTTCAACTGTGCATCCAATTGAGACTATCTTACACAGCCAATGTTCCACATATTTGCAGACATATCAAGGAGCCTCTACTCGCAGCTGTGCCATGGGTAGTTTGCTAGTTTCCTATATCCAATTATTCCACAGATTATCCTCAACTATGTTTTCTATTATCCTACTGTATTGATCAACATCACACTTAAATGCTTCCCAATTAGAAGCGTGGAGGCCTTTATTAAATGGACCGATTGCAATGTTCTACATAATTGCATTGTTCTACATAATTTTATTTTTAACTGCGGTTGTCAAAATTCCTTTTTCTCCCCCTCAATAGCTTTCTCCTTGTATTGCGTGCACGCTATATTGCTTGCAATCCTCATCTTGTTGCGGCTATATTCGCTCCAATGTGTAGGTCCTTTTCCATGATAGCTCGACCGCAATGCATCTTCTTTAGCTAAATAGCAACGGTCCTGTCCGAAATTTTTTTAATTTAAAGAGGCGGAATGAGTCACCATACCTCGACCAATGTCCTCGCAGTCTCGGCGTCAGTGAGCCGAGCGTCCTCATTCACCGACACCAACTCCTCGATATCCTCCGACGGGTGGTACCCGTTTCCGGAGCTGCCCGCCAGCGGGTCCGGCAAAGCCCCCAAATTCCCCGTCACGGCGCGAATCCGAGCTGACCTGCAGCGCCAAATCAAAAGGAATCAAACAGCGACGGAGGCCGCGCGGATCCCGGAGGAGCAGCGCGAGCGGGAACTACACGTCCCGCAGCGGCGGTCCGGGCGAGAACTGAAACCGCAGGAAATCGAGATTCCGAAGGGCTACAGCAGCCCTCCCGGTGGCCGACTCAAGTGGAATGCAGACGACGCCGGTGGTCGCGCCCGAAAGTGACGCGGGTTCGACGACGCTCGAGAAGGGAAGCAGATGCGGCGACTGACATGCTCACTTTTTAGCCGATGAGGCTGCGCTGGACCGCTGCCGCTGCCGCGCTTCTCCGATAAAATTTGGATCTTTAGTTTTCAATGATTGGTCCTCATCTGGGCCTTTGGTGGTTCACGTCATCCATCATTACTTTTTGTTGACTGGGCTAAAAACTTCATTGATATATGTAGTTAAGTGGGCCTCGTTAGATTGCATTAAAGCCCATTTGTAAAAGCCCGCGTAGTTTAGACAAAAAGTAAGGACTAAATAATCCATGCTTCTTTCTTTGTTTTTCTCCTTTCTGTTTGCTTGTTTTCCATTGGTTTCTTGGGAACAGAAGAAAAGAAAATGGAGAGAGGAAATAGATTTTCAAGAATAAGAGTCACATTATTAACCAACAAAAGAGCAAACTTTGCTACGGGGACCCAAATTATGGGAGCAATAGGGAGGACAAGTAAAGTGCCCCCCTCCTATTGGATAATGAGTTGGTCATCATTAATGATGGCTAACTCATTATCAAATAGGAAGGGATACCTCACTTGTCCCCCTATTGGTCCCATATTTTGGATCATTGATAAATTTTTCTATAAGAAAATGTTGACACAGACACCGCATTTTTTTAAGTTTCCACCACTTTCCATGAAATATGGAGTAACCAGAGAGCCCCTTTCTGAGGCAATCGGCATACATATGGACAAATTTTCAAAACCAACCCTTTTGGGTTTTTAATTGCAAAAAACGACCGGTTTTGAAAATATTTATAAAAACCGACCTGTTTTCAGCCCCCTGGCTGAAAACAGGTCGGTTTTTGAAAAAAAATTTCCCAAACTTCACGGGAGTTCAACTCCCGTGAAGTTTTTCTCATAACAAAACTTCACGGGAGTTGAACTCCCGTGAAGTTTGGGAAAAAAAATTTCAAAAACCGACCCAGTTTCAACCAACTGGGTCGGTTTTTATAAATAATAGTGAAATGGGTCGTTTTTTGCAATTAAAAACCCAAAAGGGTTGGTTTTGAAAATTTGTCCGCATACATATAGCACATGAAAAAAAAAATTAGAAAATTACCTACAAAAGTGCCCTGTAGAGAAGAAAATAATACATAAACCACTATTTATTGATTTTTCCAAAATCTAGACTCCATTTTAGAATGGGCTTATTACCAAATTTATACCTCAGGAATTAAATTAAAACAGGATTATACTATGGCACAATAGTAAAAACGTTGCTATGAGCAAGAGAATTTGAGGTTTAAACACCAGGTCATGGATTTGACTCACAGAAATTATACCAAAAGAAATCATTCAAAGAGGCTTCCATATAGGTAATCATATGGAACGAAGTAAAACAAAAAGTTAACAGACTCCTCCAAAATTTTGCGGACCTCTGTGAATGCCATGGATGGTGATTTACAAATTCTGGAATGTGTAGCTTCAACAGGTTGCAAATAGTCTGAAACTCACTTGAAAACCTTTTATATGCCTCATTTGCTCCCGCTTGCAGTTGAAAATTGTTAAATATACCCTTGATTATAGATTTTGAAAGATCTGCAGCATCTGAATCCAGTGTAGTCTGATAGTAGGCAGTAGCAGTATCCATGATCTCATAAGAACTCAGCTGGCTGTTAACATCTTATCGTGGTGCGATATAATAACACTGGCCATAGAGACTACTTCGTCGGAGGCTGATATCTTCCAAAGCCAATATGAAAAGGCTATCCATATATATATATATATATCCATCTCTGTGATGTTCAAGAGTAAACAGGACCTTCGAGTTCCTCTCCAGAGTGATGGTTTCTGTGTTGCTGAAATACACACATCTCAATTCCATGCCATTCACATTGATCATATATTTTCCGGAAAATAGTATGCTATGCATTAGTGAACTTTGCGTTTTCCCTTTTTTTTGACCTTTTCCCCCCCTCATCTTGAATTGTAGATGGATATTTGGTAGCTGCAATAACAAGAATTTTGGAAAAAGAAAATTTGGAATAAATTATTTTCCAAATGCAATGTTATGATAGGAACATGTAATATGTGGGAAGAATAGCAGTAATAACAATTGACAACGCATGGAATGGAAGTCTCCACGAATAACCTTATGATTATGCATGAATAACATGGTTCAGAGTCATCGAAAATAAATAATTTTATAAAACTAGATAACAACAACGACAATAAAGCCTTTATCCTCATCCCAAATGTATGGGGTCGGTTACATGAATCCGATTCTTCCATTCATTTCTATTATGGGTCATCTCATCCACTAAGTTAACATAATAATATTCTTCTTAATCGCTTCCAATTGTGTTCTTTTAAACCAACATCTAGATCTTTTTGCTCCGTTAACTATAATACTATCACTTTTCCTAACCAATACACTAAGAGGTCTCCATTATACATGACCAAATCATCTTATTAATTGATTCTCCCTCATTTTACCCTCAATAAAAGCAACCTCTAATTTACTACGGATGAAGAGACCACCTCAACATTGTCATAATTCTCATAATTCAGAGAATTTAATTACTATATGCAAGAAAGCAAAGTTGCTAGAGTGATGTTTGTTTCTATGGAATTCTTAGAAAATCTGAAAAGGATGGATCCACATCAAGAATTGTCATAATCAAAACCCACAACTAAAATTTTGTGTTTGTTTATCAAAATTCAAAACTAAAATGTGTGTTTGTTTTAAGGATGTGAGCAAAATCATGCATCAAAAGTCCTATCTTCTCCCAAGTATTTTGCAAAGGAGAAAATTAAGTCCCTATTAGACTTTACCTTCAACCAAGCAAAATATAAATTTGAAAAGTTCGCAATCTAGAAGAACTCTGTACTTGTAAGGATCCCAAACCAGAACCCATTTAATTTCTTTGTGTAGTCTTTGGTTAGATTGTCGCGATACCCACTGCGTATATAACCTTTGGTCAGTTTTTCTTAAGATGCACTGCTCTCTTTGTACATACCGTTGATGATCCCTGATCTTTCCATCTCACTACAGTGTTTTCATACGTCAGCAATTAAGACAAAGCATGTGTAAAAACTGATCTTTCAATCAAATGAGATGTTTTGTTCACATGCAATATATGTCACTAAATGTACCGATTACGAAAAGCGATAAGAATATAGTTAAATGGGCAAGGAGGACTGGAGGTAGGCCTAAGAGAATTTAGGTGGAAGCAATTAGAAAGATATGATAACTTCGACGGAGGATATAAGCCTTGATAGAACTGAGTGGAAAAAATGGGATTCATGCACTTTAACACCAAAAATTTGGGATCATTGCTCTGTTGTCTTCGTTGTAGTACTCATTATCGCCAATAACATTCATGTGATGTGAAACAGAAAAAAAAGAAAAAAGAAAAGGCAGGAGTAATGGCATGCTCCTTCAAACTATCAAAGGATAAAATAGGCTGCAATTTTCTACCAAGTCACCTAGGTGTTTTTGTTTTTGTTTTTGTTTTGTTCTTTTTTTTAAGTTTTTTTTATTTTAATGCTTGCAACAGAATTTAGTCCAGACCACATGCCCATGGGCCAGGTTTCAAATTACGATGGAGCAAATTATCAAAAAGCTAAAATTCCCCAAGTTATATATAGTTTTCAGATCTTAGTAAAAGCTTAAGATGCATTGTGAGTTCTGCATAAGTGCATAATACAAGGAAGGCGGGACATGTATCCTACAGATCATAACATAATGTTATAGAATGCATGGACATTTCAAACATGTATCATTCCTACAACAGTTTAGCCCTTCATCCTACCTTGATCATAGGATAAATTAATCTAAACTAAACTAATAAGCATGAATCAGGACAGTAGAGAAAAGGTTTATTTTTTATTTTTTATTTAACCATAATAGACCACTAAATATTTGTTACTTCTATATTAGAATGTCAGATCTTCATATTTCTAAATTAGAACCTAAAATCTTCATATTTGTCCAAAATGGGGGTCTTATTTCAAAAAACTTAACAGACTTAGGGCTCTTTTCTAGAAACACTTAATGGATTTGGGGGTCAAATTTAGAAATATGAGGATTTGGAGATCTAATGCAGAATTAACAAAGATTTGGGTCTAATTTAACAAAAAAAACCCTAAAAAATACGCTAGTTAGAAGTATTACCATGAAACAGCGATCTAATTCAACTGCATGCCATCCTGAAATGCTTGGTGACATGAATAAAAAACAGGACATTTCTGCACTTCAATTGCATCAGCATCAGGATTATCTATAAGGTTTTTCAGGTCGTGCGCTCTGCAATAATAATTTGCATACTTGATCCATAAGCTGATCAGATAAATTTTCAACGAAATTATAAGACTCCACAGTTCCTGAAGCCTTTTCTGCAACTTTATTAAGCAAGGAGCACAAAGTTCTGTATCTTTTTGATTTAGATGATTTACTATCAGAATTAACTGCACTGTCTGTGACTTCTCCTTGGTTTGTAGCCTTTGCGTCCTTCGTCCATCTCTTTAAGATATATTTTGGTGGGAGCTCTTTAATATTTATAATGTCAAGAACTTTAAGTACATGGCGACACTGGATTCCAGCAACCTCAAACTTCTTGCAACTGCAGAAGATCGAACCATTTGATGAGTCAAATGTGACAATGAATTCATTAGGGTGATCCTCAGCTGTAACTTTATATTCAAATACAGTGCCTATTTGACCACAATTGTATACCATATAGTCTATAGACATATCAAATTCTGCTTGAAATACTTTGAGCACTGCCGGTGTGTATACATTTGAAGCTTGTCTCAGCATTCTTGAAGCATGAGTCTTCACTAAACCCTGGCGTGCGTTAAAATCAGCTTGTAATTCTGCATATAGTTGCTCTTTGACAATATTTTCATAATGCTTAAAAAACTCTAATAGATTTTCTGAATCCAAGTATTTCTTCAGCGCATCATTCATATTATCCTTAACTAGCACAGATTTCACATCCCCATAAAATGCATGTCGTTCGTATGCCAAAGACCATTTTTCCCTATCTTCATAAAGGTTAGCCAACAAAGTATTACTATTGAGATCATACTTTTCTAACAAAGATTTCCACTCTGATACAAATTGCTCTTCCTCCTCAATTTCATAAATACATCTACTGAAGTCTTTTGCAAAAGTTGTTGAGCCTTCAAACACAAAATTAAGGTGCTTCACAGCATTATTATAAAGTTGCCACACACAAAACCGATGAATTGTACCTGGCCACACTTCAGCTATTGCATTACTAATAGCCTCTGATTTTTCTGTGAGTATCAATTTTGGCTGCTTTCCACACATTGAGCTCTTGAAAGCCTCAAACAACCACTTGAAAGATTCTACGGTTTCATCATATGTCAATGCTTGACCAAAAATAATTGCTTGCTTATGATGATTCACACCGATAAATAGAGCAAAAGGCCTCCTATAGTCACTTGTTTTATAGGATGTATCAAAGCATATAACATCGTCAAAATAATCAAAGTCCACCTTGGATTTTCCATCAGTCCAGAAAACGCTCATTAATTGATCATCCTGTTCAAGTCGCAATGCATAATAGAAAAATGGGTCTTCAGCCTGTTTCTCTTGCATATATTGAAGAATAGCTCCTACATCACCCACCATCATAGCATTCTTATTGTGTGAGGTAATAGAAGTGGGAACTTGAGTCTCTGCTTGTTCTGAGCTCAACCTTTGATCATTCGGTGACTTAATTAAGCCCCTTCGCCACTGCCACTTGAACAAATGAGCTTTTGTAGGAACCACAAGTGCATGATTATGCTTTGGCTCAAACACTATCACACGATATCTACCACTCTTCGTAATTTTAATGGTCATTGATGCAAGACAACCGGATCTATCATAAGGCTTCGGATTCCTCTCTTGCACTTGTTCATCTCTCTTTCTAGTGTGACCCTCTTTATGACAACAATAAGTCCTTGAATATATCAATCCTGAGGCCCTTCTCTTTATCAAATGCTTACGAACGCTGAATCCTATATTGATAGCGTAGTTGAAATAGAAATTATAAGCCTCTTCATCATTCTCAAACTCCATATCAACTCTAGGCACCCTATCATCAGTAAAATTGGTAGGTTTTGATGGTATATAGCTTCTGGAGATGGATCTATAATTTACATTTTTCTTAGCAGCTTTTTTCACTGATGCTGGCTTATCTATTGGTTCTGTCTCGGTTTCATTGGCTTTTGCTATAAGTTCATGGTTATGATTAGGATCAAATTCGGTTACACGAAACCTACCATCATCCATAATTCTAACAGTGATATGAGCCTTGCAACCTGTTCTTGAATCTGGCCTCGGCTTCTTCCCTTCTTTTAAACTCCTACAAAACCCTTCTTTATAACAGCAGAAAACTCGGGAGTATACGAGACCCGAAGACCTTCGTTTAACAAAATGCTTACGAACACCAAAACCCATTTCCTTTGCATAGAGGCAGTAGAACTGGTAAGCTTTCTCATCACTCTCAAACACCATATCATTCCTTGGAACCCAACTATCATCAGCTGCATTTTCAGTTGCTGGTTCTGACATTTGTTCGCTCCTTATCAAACCCAATTAAGAACCCAATTCAAGATAGAAGCAATTTTCACAAACCTAGTACAAATTTAGGGGTTAAAAAAAGTACCAGAATTTATATACGTGTCTAATGTGAAATTTTTATTGTAGCATTTAAAGGCCATCAAAACTTGAGAAAATCTTGTATTATCTAATAACCCACTAGAAAAACTGAACGTTTAACGGGAAAAGAGATGGAAACTATTTTATAAGAGATGGGCTTTATCTAAGTAACCAAGTACAAATTTAATGAGAATCCATCCCGCAAGGAGCATGCTTTTTCCTAAATAACCCGCTAAAAGATTGAACTTTTAACAGGAAAAGAGAAGGAAACTAGAACATGAAAGGATGGGCTTTATCTAAATAGCGGGCATCTCCAACCCAGCATCAAAATGGTGCAAACAGTGCATTTTTTGGCACTGTTCCTTCTCCAACCCTGCCCCATTTCCTGCGTCATTTTGGTGCATTTGAACAGTGCTGCACCAAATATAGAGTCGCACTGTTCATCGCTTCATTACTGTTTATGTTTTATTTAAATTTATAAAACAACCCCAATAATATTTAAATTTTATAATTTTACTCCAATTGTATAATTTGGACAAAATAAATTATTTTTTTAATTATAAAAATAATGTTAAAATTTAAAAGATATTATTATTAATTATAATATTAAAATCTAGACATTATAATTAAAAGTAGATAAAAAGGAATATGTGAAAAAAATAAAATTTGATATGTTGGGTTAATAGTTGAAATAGTTAAAAATATAGGGAATAGAAAATAATAATATAAAAATAGATAAAAAAGAATATACTAAGAATATTTTTTTTTGATGCAAAAAATGGTGCAGTGGGTTGGAGATGAATTATTGTTAGATGTGACTTTTGCACCATTTTGATGTAAAATTTGCACTATTTTGGTGCAATGGGTTGGAGATGGTCTAAGATTATAACGAAAACTTATATGTGGATCACCGCAAGTCCCAATTAAAACAATCTGGGCTTCAAACAAAATCATATTCTTATGCAGTGGATACTTCGAGAGACGTTCGTAGGGCCAAAGAGGAGTTCAACGAGCGAAATTATCAATTAAATAGGAAAAAAGATCGACGCGATTCCCAATCCAAACTAAGGATCGACAGGTGTATATTAAAATTCTACGTGGGGTGCAAACAAAATCTCATTTTTATAGCAATAGAGGCTTTAAGAGTTTTTTGAGTGTCAAAACAGAGCAAAAAAAATCAATTAAATTGAACAAGAAATCGACAGCAGGGCTCACCAATGAATAAAGATTCGCTTCCCCTTTCCCCTTTAAAACCCTCAATTGCGTTTTGAGAGAGAGCGAGAGAAGAGAGAGAGAGAGAGAGAGAGAGAGAGATAAAGGGAGGGAGAGAAGGAGAGGGGAATTGGACGAGGAAAATGTCCGACCGAAATTAGACAAATCACGTCAAAGGGGAGGTGCGAGCAAAGGGGAAGAAAAAAGGAGGAGGAGGAGGAGGAGGAGGCGATTAGGTCCAACCTCTGTACATGAGAGACACGTGTCCGTATCCAACAATTTAGTGGAGTTGCGATGTAAAGCTTCTTGGGCTGGTCGTGAAACCAGGCCATGGGCTAGTTTTCACTTGTACAAGATTTTAGATCCTTCCACAATTTTGTGAAACTAGTCCATGGGCTTTTTGTCACTAGCACAAGAAATTAGGGGATTTTTGGATCGCTGAGAGACTAACAGACCCATGTGACGTGTCATATTTCCGAAAAAAGATTCATTTCTTATATTTTGTTGATGGAGGGAAAAAAATATTGTGCATGTGAAACCCATCCACACCAGATGTAATAAATGCAATGGACCCTAAAATAAAATAAAGGAAACTCATTTTAGCGAAAAAAAAGACCAAAATTTGTCTTAAAATAGAGAAATGGATCTCAAAGCCCATTTTCCATGTGTCGTTTCTCAGAATTAGGTTTCTCGGAAATGAACCAAATATGTCCTTAATTATAGTCCTTACTTATTACCATTTAATGTTTGATTTGGTAGGAGGGAAGGTAGAATAAGGTAAGCGATAAAATTTAAAATCCTCTTTGTTAAGGAGATATTAGAGGGATAAGATGAAACAGAGTAAAGTGAGGTGAGGAGAGAGAAAATTCAGAACGATCTAGAAAGATAAGAGAGAGAAAATCCCTCCAATTTGTAGGGACACAAAAGTGAGAAGATGTAGAATGAACTAAAAAACTCACCAACAAAAAACATTAAAGTTTATCCCTCCTTGCACCTCATTGAACCTTGCATTACCTTACACGCTCTGGTATATGAATTTTATGGAGTATATCATAATTCCCCTTTACTTGAAAATATAAATGCGAGGCAGGGTCCATACATTGGAAACTATCACATACTCCATCAATAGGAAAATTTCCAATTTAAATTAATTTTCATCTCCTGATGAATTCTATACGCACCCCAGCAACAAAATTAAAGACGCACAAGCAAATTTGCCGAGGAAATTCCTCCAACCAAACCAGACGATCAACAACAATCACATACTCCATCAATAGGAAAATTTTCCAATTTAAATTAATTTTCGTCTCCTGATGAATTCTATACGCACCCCAGCAACAAAATTTCATGCGCAAACACAAAGTACAAATTTTATGAGAACATGTCCAAACAGTAAAATGTCCGAACTATCCCCCGTTCGCCAAACTCTACACTCAACAAATAACACTATCTAAAACAAATCTGAGCCGCTCGCTCTCATCGCCAACATGCAATCCAACGCCTCCCCCGCCGCCATGCCAGCTCGACCGAGCACACCTCACGTGCCCCTCACGTGACACGCCACTCCTCCTTAGAATGGCCTCTGGAGGCTCGCAAACAAATCCTGCAACGGATCATTCGAGAACTGGGCCCCACAATCCAACGGCGGGAAGGGCACGGTGGCATCCCCGTAATTAAACGGGGCTCCAAGGGCCCTTCCGAGCTCCTCCCACCTCAGCTGGCTCTCCGCTTCCTTGCTCTCGCACGTGAGATCAGGCGACAGCACGTGCGAGGAGCAGCTGGAGTCGGCGTGTAGCATCGGAAGTGATTCGGATGGGCCGAAGTAAGAGAAGTCCTTGGTCGGTGGGAATGTCGGCGGCGGCGGCATCGCGCTTGTCACGTGCGGTGCTATGTTGGGCTTCTGGTCTGGGCCGGGTTGAACCGTTCTTGGGC